AGTTATGAAGGCGGACTCGACGAGTTGTTCATACAACTCGGCGAGTCATGGTCTAGACATTCATGGGATGATGATGAACTCGACGAGTTCAAGGATGAACTCGGCGAGTCGGTTGAAGTTAGTCCCGAGTGTATGGTTGAAGGAGGACTCGTTGAGTTGTTGCTAGATTCGACGTGTAGAGTCGGGGTTGTTTTGGAATTGGAGGACTAAGGACTCGACGATTTGGTATAACAACTCGGCGAGTCGAGTCAACGGGAAATTGACTTTGACCAAGTTTGACCAGGGTTGACTTTTAGACTATTGTGGTCTGAATGTTGTTTTGGGTATTGATAGTTCGGGAAGCCGAGGGATCAGCGGTTCAGAAGTGCCGGTTAGCAGTCAAAAGTGTTCAGCAAGTCTTCAGCGGTGCAAGGTGAGTTTCCCTTTGTGTGGATGGGTCTACGGCCACAATGTCGGCCCATGTAGTTATGAGTAGGAAGACCCGGGGGTTAGCCCTAGGCACAGTATGCTAGTATGACATTCGGGACTAAGGTCCAATGTTAGCGGGCGGGTGCCCAAGGAATGGTTTGTATGATAGTTATACTTGTTGTCTGTGTGATACATGTATGTGCCTGGTAGGGAGGTGAGTGTGGGCGAGGTCCCGTATCTCACCAATAGCAGAGTGTGGACGGTGTTCCATACCTCATTAGCAGCAGAGCAGGGGTGTGACATCCCCATTTTCACGGCCAGAAAAGACCGATTTTGTTTATGCTTTATAAAAATCAGAGTACTTCTTTTAATAAAAATCTTGCGGAATTTGTTCCCAGAAAAACATGATAAATACGTTATCAAAGAATTTCCGAAGAAATGTATTTTTATTCATTTTAAAACATTTGGGATGTCATCGTTAATACAGAAACATAAGCATAAACAGAACTTACATTCATTTACACTAGTGATCTACATCTCTTTTAAATCTCTCAGTGTAATGTAACTTCATATCGACACCTGTGATACAAATAAACTGAGTGGGTCAGGTTGGGAAACCTGGTGAGTACATAGGGTTTTCAACCCACAATAATATAATTATTATGTTTAAACATCAAACAATCAACCCAATTACCCATCCCCATTATCTTCTTTACTCTTAAGGATCTACCCTAAGAATCAATTATTCCTCGTTCATTCATTCCTAAGGATCATCCTAAGGAATCGGCACGAAGTCCATCGTTTTCAATGACACAGCTGTCACGCACAGCTGCTAGTTCTATCACTTAGGCGCAGCTGCCAGAATTGTGACATTCTATGTGAGGCGCATCTACCAGTATTGTCCTTCGAGCACAGCTGCTAGGGTTATCTCGTTTATTGACAGTATCGTTTTTGAGAGTCCACTCGCAATACATGTCAATGGGTTTTTAGAGTACACCGGTGAACACATCGTTCACAACACCTACAGGTTGCGAGCCTGCCAGTGTTCCACTGGACTGTCTAGAATAGTCCGTGGTTGTCATCCATACTCTGCTAGATGACGGGGCCATCATTTGGGAAAGGCTTCTCACATCGTCCACCTCTCACACTTACCTCGTGGTCTATAACACCTCTCAACTCATCATCCAACTCATATTCCATCTATTACATCTACCCATGTTTTACCCAACATATTCTCGTAGATATATATATATATATATATATATATATATATATATATATATATATATATATATATACAGTTTAAATCATTTAAAACATGTATAAAATCGTTCATCCAGCATAGATAGCAAGTATACAGATAATATGTACACATAGCACGTAATTTATTTAAAATACTTCATATCTATGTGTAAGATGAAAGTAACTATGCACTCACTTGAAAAGGTGGTGAATCCGAACTCAGACAGCGTTTCGCTTCTTAAAAATAATTTCCTTCGACGAAACCTAATATTATTACCACTAGAATTTAGTCTATTATTCGCCGAGACTAATTAATAGTCTAGCTATTATTACTATTATATAAGCGTTAAACAATACTTATATAACCCATAATAATAGCCCAAGTACTTATTATAAGTTCCTAATAACGCTACTATAATTAAATAAACGATATATTAAAAATAGCGTAGGCGTAGCTCACTTACAGCGGGTTTTATAGAAAACCGGGCTTTGCTTGGAGCAGCATTCCCGAGTCGAAAAGCTCTTCTTCTCGGAGCCTTCGAGCACTCCGGGGCTTCCACCTCGTGCTAGGGAGGTTCCCTAGGCTTTTCGGGGGGTTTCGGGGCTAGAGAGAGTAAAGAGAAGAAAGAATGAGAAAGGTGTGAAGAAAATGAGGGTGGGAGAGGTTCTATTTATACGGTGAAAAATGGCTAAACTTGGTGTCACATGTCACCATCTAGTGGCAAGACTTGGGGAGAAAGCAATGGCCAAGATTGTGCCACATCACCCATTTTCGCACAGCACACTTCCGACTTCTAAAATCCGTAACTTTCACATACAACCTCCATTTTTGACGTTCTTTATATCCACGCGTAGGTAAAAATAAGATCTACAACTTTCATTTTGACTCCGTCGGCTAATTCTCGACCGATCTTAAATTTAACAGTACGAGGAGATTATACTGTTAAATGTCCGCGTAAAATTCATAACTTCTACATACGGACTCTGTTTTCGTCTGTATTTATACCGTTGAGTTCCTATTAATGAGATCTTCAATTCTCATTTAGGTCACGTAGGCCAAAAACCGCTCGATCTAAAATTCGAGTTCCGGGTCGTGCACTGCTATGTCAAATCTTAGAAAATTCGTAACTTCCTCATACGAAGTCAGATTTGGGCGTTCTTTTTTGTATGTTCTCAGTTTAACGTATACTACAACTTTTGTTAAGATTTCTAAGGCTAAAAAGTCATTTATCAAAAATTCACTATTTACGTCTCCCGGTGTCGTGCCGGTTTTGCCGTAAAACTTCGACGGGCCATAACTTCTTCGTTATAACTCGGATTTCGGCGTTCTTCATATGTACGGAACCCTTGAGACATATTCTACAACTTGGTTAAAATTATTTATTCTAAATAATCTTTTGTCGAAAAGTCGTTTTCGACCCCTATTATCTCTAAATTGACTAGCCCGGATCTGCGGGCGTTACAAGGGGCGAGGCCCAAGTTAGGAAAAGAGTGAGTGTGGGCTGGGCCCGTATCTCACTATCAGTAGGAGCGTGGACGGGGTTCCATGATTCATCAGTAGCAGGACAGGGGCGAGGCCCAAGATAGGCGAGGCCTTAGTATAGTAATCCAGTAGAGTATGTTAGTTATGTGTTGTGATATGATTGTATGCTAGTATATGTTAGCGGGCGGGGACCGGAGACAGGCGGTGCCTAAGGAAAACAGATCTGTACGCCGAGCGGGGCTCGAAGCCAGGCGGGGCCTGGTGACGGACGGGGTCCGATAGCGGGCGAGGCCCAATGCAGCGGGCGGGAGCCCATTATATGGTTATGTGCTCAGGATTACATATGGATCAGTAGATGTGTATGGTATGTGGTAGGTTGGGGAACTCACTAAGCTTCGTGCTTACAGTTTATAGTTTTGGTTTCAGGTACCTCTTCAGCGAAGGGGAAGGAGCTGGCGCGGTAGCAGCACATCATGCACACTCGCATTGATTTTCCGCACTTGAGATATTCTGGGATTGTACTCTGACATGATACTATTTTATGACTGGGGTTTTCAGACATGATATATGGATTTACGGAATGATATCTTTTATGTGGTTTTCTTATGAATGCTTTTATAATCAGTTAATTAAAATGAAATTTTTGGACCCGATTTTTGGGATGTTACACTATTATACATGCATATTTTCAATTTTTCCAAAGCATTGTCCTAACTAGCATACAAATTTCCAATTGAATAAAACATCTAGATAGATGACATACCTTTTGAAGGACTTGTAGTTCTTGACCTTTGAAAGCTTGAGCACCTCGAGTGTGATGCCTCTAATGGTTCACAAACACCAATATGCAAGAGGATGATTTAAGAGAATAATCTATTTATCTCAAAGAGAAGAGGCAACCAATTTTGGTTTATGGATAGTTCTATTTATAGTGTTGGACATGCTAGGGTTACACTTGGTAAACCCTAATAACCCATGACTTTCCACATTCTCATGCTCCATGGGTTTATCCTCCATGGACTATCCATGGATTAATTTAGCCCATAATCATGGATCATTAGCCCACACTACAAGAATGATTGATTTACATAATCAATCCCCATATATTTAATTAGTCTCTTTTGATCACAAAATTAATAAATTAATTGTTGATCAATACTAATTAAATAATTCTGTATTAATATATTATACTTGTAAATATTAATAAACCATAAATAACCTTATTCTAAAAAATCATCCTATCAAATTGCACTGGTGAAGGCAACTAAAAATAACCATGCTACAATCGGATCAAGTACATACCAGTTATAGTTATGGGCTTAGACACCAAATCCAATACTTTGTGTCCTCGTGTTCGTAATAACATGTACTATTTGATTATTGTAACCTTTATACTAAAAATATGATTTATATGTATTTGATTTTAATAGTTCGTTTTGAGCCCTTTTTTGTGTGCAACGACCAATTTCCACTTTTCGCATATATATTCGGAATAGTGTTGACATGTAGTTTCGTATTAGGTTATTATTCATAGCAAATGAGGTTTAATTTGCATATTTATATAAAAACACATTTTAACGTCATTGTTTGTGTTCGATGCTAAATATTTACTTGTCTGAATTCTTCCCGGTTTGAGGATTCAACTTACTTTTCTTATATATTTTAAAGTATTATAACATATTTTCGTAAAAAAAATCATCAAATACGTTACATCAAGCCAATTATATTGATGAGATTGACAACCATCGACTTATTTTGACTATTGTCACATTATCTAATCAAATCTCTTATTTGACAACAAGCTTTTATAACATATCAATTATCACATGCAAAATGCAAATACATGTCTGAATCCTAATATTTTCTTCTACCATTCGGTAATCACATCCATGAAAGTTCCTCCACTGGGGATCACTGGCAAAACATATTCTTGATGCGAAATGGCAACATCTAACAAGTAAGGCCCTGGTGTATCCAACATATCCTTAATGGCAGATCGAACTTTCTCTTTTTTGGTCACCCTCGCCGCTGGGATATCGCATGCCTCTGCAAACTTCACCATATCTGGGAAGATCTCGGATTCTTTCATTGGGTTTCCTAAGTACGTGTGTGCCCTATGTCTCTTAAACAAAATATCCTCCCACTGAACCGACATGCCCAAATATTGGTTGTTAAGCAGCATGATCTTCACCGGCAGATTTTCGGCACGAATGGTGGCAAGTTCTTGAAGATTCATCATGAAGCTTCCATCGCCATCAATATCAACGACGACTGCATCTGGCTTTGCGAGAGATGCTCCCATTGCGGCAGGCAGTCCGAATCACATAGCCCCTTGCCCACCGGAGGTTAGCCATTGTCGAGGTTTATCGTACTTGTAAAACTGGGCAGCCCACATCTGATGTTGCCCTACACCAGTAGTTATGATCGCATTACCTCCTATTAACTCTTCTAGAAGTTGGATTGCATACTGAGGGGGAATTACATCGCCAAATGTTTCAAACGTCAATGGGTGACTCGTTTTTTGCTCATTTAGTTCGTGGATCCATGAAGAGAAATCAAGATCAAGATTTCTTTTTTCATATTTGTCCTCCAATATCGTGTTGAGTCCCTGTAAAATGAGCTTGATATCCCCACAAATTGATAAATTGGGTTGCTTATTCTTCCCTAATTCTGCAGGATCGATGTCGATATGGACGATTTTTGCTCTGCTAGCAAAAGCTTCGACCTTTCCTATTACATGATCATCAAACCTAACCCCAAACGCGAGCAATAAGTCGCTTTTATCAACAACATAATTTGCATAATAATTACCATACGAACCGAGCATTTGAAGCGATAGATCGTCAGAACCTGGGAATGATCCAAGTCCCATTAAAGTACTTGCGACTATAATCCTAGTAAGCTCAACAAACGGACGAAGCTCATCACTTGAATTCAAACAACCACCACCCACATACAAAACATGTTTCTTTGATTCCCATATGAACCTCAAAACATGTTCTAAACAGGACTTGTTTACTGGACTCGGTAACATAGATGTAGTCAACCTTATAGGTTGATCCCAGTTAGGCACTACTAATTCTCGCGATATGTCATGTGGAATATCAATTAAAACAGTTCGAGGGATAATATATATATTCCCTATAATATAAGATACGAACCATGCAATATCAATCTCAATATCTCATTTCTTGTTCAACAATGGCGATATGTGCATCACACCAAACTTCCATATCCTCCAAATCACCATCTTTCATTCCATCATTTCAGTCAAGTACTACAATACTCTTCTTCTCTCTATCCAACTTCTCCAATAATTTCCGTCAACAAACACGGTTCCCTCACATGCACATCCACACCACCACCATGTCTCACCGGTACCAGACTCGCTCTGCCATTAACCAACCAAGAAAAGGTTCGGATATCCTGGTGGAAGCCCTTGAGCGCGAAGGCGTCACCCATGTCTTTGCCTATCCAGGAGGCTCCACCATAGACATCCATCAATCCTTAACCCACTCATCCATCATCCGCACCATCCTACCACGTCATGAGCAGGGTGGAGTGTTTGCTACAGAAGGTTGATCCGAGTTTAGCAAGAAAGAAAGCCTTATGAACAATTCGAGGGATATATTTTGCGTTCCTGACTTGGTAATTATGCTTAGTAATAAGACAAGTCAACTCAACAATGGGTGCTTCTTGGAAGGCATCAGTGCCCATTAATTTTCGTGGAACTTGGCCAGTAATGGCAACCAATGGGACACTATCGTGCATAGCATCTGCGATTCCAGTCACAAGATTTGTAGCTCCAGGACCTGATGTTGCGATATAGACGCCAGGGAAACCGGAGGCACGAGCATAGCCTTCTGCAGCAAACACTCCACCCTGCTCATGACGTGGCAGGATGGTACGGATGATGGATGAGTGGGTTAAGGATTGATGGATGTCTATGGTGGAGCCTCCTGGATAGGCAAAGACATGGGTGACGCCTTCGCGCTCAAGGGCTTCCACCAGGATATCCGAACCTTTTCTTGGTTGGTTAATGGCAGAGCGAGTCTGGTACCGGTGAGACATGGTGGTGGTGTGGATGTGCATGTGAGGGAACCGTGTTTGTTGACGGAAATTATTGGAGAAGCTGGATAGAGAGAAGAAGAGTATTGTAGTACTTGACTGAAATGATGGAATGAAAGATGGTGATTTGGAGGATATGGAAGTTGGGTGTGATGCACATATCGCCATTGTTGAACAAGAAATGAGATATTGAGATTAATATTGCATGGTTCGTATCTTATATATATATATATATATATATATATATATATATATATATATATATATATATATATATATATATATATAGTAGTAGTAGTAGTAATGGGGTTGGAGGCAATGTTAATTAGGGGAGGAAATTGACGTCCCAAGAGGGATCATTAAAAATGGTAATTGGGGGAGGAAATTGACGTCTCAAAATGGATCATTAAAAAAGCTTTCCTAGGAACTAGGTTGTATATAATTAGAAAGTTTAGTACATCATTCGATGAAGATATGTTTACGCCTATTTATCTATAAAAGTAACGAACATTATTTTTTTTTGTTTCTATTTAGTTAAATTAACATATACAAATAAACACCATTTCACTACAAGAAATTAATATGGATGGTATCTCTGCTATTACCCGTATTTCCGCTATAAGAAATATGGTGTCGTCAGTCATTACTGCCCCATTCTCATGATTTGTGTGCTTTGTTCATGCATTTGATCTAGTCCCGATAAATTACCGTCATTTACATACACCCTAATCACATAAAAGAATATTAAAATATATTTATATTGCAATAAAATTAACTAAAAATAAAAATAAAAATACTTACATTCCCTAAAAACGCCAAATTTCCTTGTGTTGTAAACAACCCCAAACATTTATGACATTGTGCACATTGCTTACTATCTCCATCATCAACGTTGTGGAAAAGTCGAATGCCACAGCCAAAAAGTTTCTAAACATGCAGTATATTTGTAAAACTAGTTGGAAGCTCAAACTTGTAAATTTTATTCAAACTTGTAAATTTTATTTAAAAGTTTTCGGCAAAAATAATTGTAAGCAAAGATGTAAAATTATACAAAACATATAGGCTAAAACCTAAAAGCTCCAACTTTGAACTAGATTTTCACAACATGAATTCTTACCCACTTATGCAACCATTTTTCAATCCCAAATCAACGTATACAACCAATTTAGTAAAATAATTCATTAAGTGGGAAAAGAATTGGCGACAAATTAAAACATGACTACATAAATGGGTAAAAAAAATCTATTTCTTTGTATAAACCGGTAAGAAATCTGTTTCTTTTCATTAATAGGTGATTTACCCTAAAACAATACAGATTAGAAAAATACATAATAAACCAACTAAACACAAAAAAAATCATCGATGAATCGAACAGTACTATCTCATATTCAAATTTTGTAGACACAAACAAGTGGAGATAATGGACATGATTGTGTATATGTATATATACATTCATAGTGACCCTAATCCATGGCACTAAAGCTAGGAGCATCCCACCCTAATTGGTCAACAACCTTCCTTATTCTTTCTTCTTGACCCTTTGAATCCCCTAAGGCTGTGGTAAAAGGGTAAATATATGTAACTTTTGTGGCCATGCACCTATAAGAGACCACATCTCCTTTCACCAAGAACTCAAGAACATCTCGCCCAAATCCTCCATCAACCGTGGCCTGTAAATATTGGCCTGTTGGGTATAGATTTTGCACAAAGATCAAAAATCATTTTTGATTTTTGTTGATTATTTATGGTAAAAAAGCTAATCGGATATGATTATAGAGATAGATGTACAAGAGTATTGTGATTTTAAACACTTGATTATCTGATCTTGATTAAGGGCATGTAAATCTGAACACTATATTTCGAATATTGAGACTAAAATTACCATCTGGGGTATCCTCTACGATCTCAATCGTGGCATTTTTCTGTGTTTCTAGAATTGATTGTTGCAATTGCTGCAATAAACGTTCACAAAATCAAATCTTCACAACATGCTTTTACTAGACTCAAAAGGAAAAAGCGTATATAGAAATGACAAAATATCAAACACCTGGAGGGCATTATCTACAGATTTGTCTGGGACTCTCCAAGGGAAGGCAAAAGATGATGACTGTGGGTTACTTGAAACACACCCAGGATTGTTCGATGGACACGGTCTGATTTTCCTGCAAAACCAAAATGTTTTCTGAAATAAACAAACCAAATGAAGAAAATAGTAGACATTCAACATAAAAATGTGAAGAAAGAATTACCCATTGTCTAATCCGGTGAGTAAGTTCTTGGATTGAGAGAATGGGGTGGTGGCGGGGGGTAAACTGGGCGGCGGAAGGGGGTTGTTGAGAGAAGGGAGTGCAATGGAGGGCGGTGGTGAAGTAAGGGTGACGAGGGCAATGGCTACAGAGAGCAGATGATTTGATAAAAGAGATGGTTTTTTGGGATTAGGGTTTTGCGAGAAGGAAGCTGATAATGTTGATGATTGAATTGGGGATTGTTTGATGGTGGTTGTGGTTGTGGTGTTCTTGAGTGGAAATGGAGGGAGAAGGTGAGTAGTTAAACCGAAACTCATGGTGATCAATAACTTGGGCTCACTTGTGGGTCGCATGTATATATTGATGGTGCTCCGGTCCATGATAAAACAAAACACGGAAAAGTTAAAAATAAATAAATAAAATAAAATGCTATAAATATCTTAAAATTGTTAATCAGTCGTTTAATCAGTTCTCTATTATCAATTTGTTTGTTTCAATTTAATCGGTTGTTTACTTAAAATTGTTAATCTAAACGAACTGAATAAATTTTGGTTTAATAGCTTTATCAATTTGATTGGCTTGGTATCCTGTTAAATCCAGATAACGTATATTAAACATTTTTTGGTTTGTTAAAACTTTCTTTGATATGTAAGCTAATAAAAAAAAAAAATAGAACCAAAACAGAAAAAATTGCTAAACTTAAGGATCAAAATTATAATCTACCTGGAAACTATTTTTTGAATCTTATCTTCCAAGTAGCGATAAAAATGTAGGAAATATCTTTGATTTAGTACCCACAAACAAAATGATTTTTTTGTTGGACCATCTCTCACCACTCTCTCAACCAATCCATAATACATTAATACACACTTACCAAGTGCAAATTGAAAACGAAGAAGCATGGGGTTACATGAAAAAACAAAGAGTTTCTTCAACAACAGATGGCTGGTTTTTGTAGCTTCAATGTGGGTTCAATCTTGCTCAGGACTTGGGTACTTGTTCGGCAGCATATCGCCGGTGATAAAGAAATCCATGGGTTACAATCAGCGGCAGATTGCCATGTTGGGTGTGGCTAAAGATATCGGTGATGCAATCGGATTCATTCCTGGTAGTTTATGTGAAATTGCTCCCATTTGGGTGGTTCTTTTCATTGGAGTTGTTCAAAACTTCGTCGGATATGGTCTGGTTTGGCTCACCACCACACACACCTTGCCGGAATTGCCTCTGTGGGTGGTCAGTTTCTCACTTTCTATAATCCTCTTTCCCCTTTACTCATCTGATCGATTTAATTCACTTTAAGCGTTTGCATATATATACTTTCAGCTATGTGTTTGTATATTCGTCGGAACAAACGGAGAAACCTACTTCAATACAGGAGCTTTAGTATCCGGAGTTCAGAACTTCCCAAAAAACCGTGGTCCAGTCGTCGGAATATTAAAGGGTTTTGCCGGGTTAAGTGGTGCGATTTTGACACAAGTTTATACAATCTTCAATTTTCCCGATCAATCCTCCATCATATTCTTGGTTGCGGTGGGGCCCACGATCGTTATATTATCGGTAATGTTCATGGTTAGACCTGTCGGAGGCCATAGACAAGGTCGAGAATCCGATGACACAAGCTTTGTATTTCTTTACAGTGTTTGTCTCATTCTCGCGGCTTATCTCCTCGGAGTTTTGATTTTACAAGATCTGATCGTTCTGAACCAGATAACTGTGACTTTGCTCACCGTTGGGCTGTTGATCCTCGTATTGCTTCCGATTGCAATTCCCGTTTTTTTGGTTTTTTTCTCAGAGAATCTACCGGAGGAAAGGCTACTACTTAACGAGGATGAAAAGAAAGATGGAAATGAAATGATAATGAGTGAGATGGAAGATGAGAAGACATCGGAAGTAGACTTGCTTTCTGCTTACGAAAGGCAAAAGAGAATCTCTCATTTGCAGGCGAGACTGGTGCAGGCGGTGGCGGATGGGGCTGTGAGGGTGAAGCGGCGGAAGAAGGGTCCACGAAGAGGGGAGGATTTTACGTTAATGCAGGCGTTGGTAAAAGCTGATTTCTTGCTCATGTTTTTTTCGTTAGTGTTGGCTTCAGGATCCGGTTTGACCATAATTGATAACCTTGGTCAAATGTGCCAATCGCTTGGGTATGAAAACCCGCATATATTTGTTTCCATGATTAGTATTTGGAACTTTCTTGGTCGTGTTGGTGGTGGATACTTCTCCGAGATAATCGTAAGGTACGTTTTAAAATGTTTGTTAAAACTGCTATGTTATAATGTTTATTTGTATAAAAGTTTTTGGTAAGATTAGCTGGTAACTTTTTAATTTTGTAAAATGACTGAAACATAGAAACTAAAAACTCTAAGATACTTTTAATGTTGAAGTCGAGTTTTTTTTTTTTTTTTTGGTTACCTGATTTTTTTTTTAAAGTTTGTTGATGAGTGTACCTTTAAGTTTATAGTACATTTGAGTAACATAACTTTAAACATATTAAATTATATATTGTACTATTTGAGTGTTGATAAATCTTTTTGCATGCTAGAAAGTACGCATACCCGAGACCGATTGCAATGGGTGTAGTTCAGGTCGTAATGGCAGGTTCGCTTTTCTACTACGCAATCGGCGCACCCAGTGCTATTTATATTGTTTCGGTGGTGATCGGACTCTGTTATGGAGCCCATTGGGCCATTTTTCCGTCAACTGCCTCTGAATTATTCGGTTTGAAGAGTTTTGGTGCATTGTATAATTGTCTTGCACTAGCAAGCCCAACAGGTTCCCTAATCTTTTCTGGTGTCATTGCTAGTGGAATTTATGACTATGAAGCAAAGAAGCAAATGACCATAAACCATCGTATTTTTCAAGATAATGAAGAACTTACATGCTATGGCACCATATGTTACTCCATCACTTGTGGGATCTTATCTGCCCTATGTGTAATTGCGGTTGCTTTGAGTATGACAGTAGTTTACAGGACTAAAGGAGTCTACGCTCAACTCTACGGGAACTCACGGACTTAAAAGTTGAGATGTTTATACTTTATAAATAACTGCTTCAATTATTTTTTGGAATAGAATATTGCTTGTATTATTGGGATTATAGCTTATCGGACATGATCCTATTGTGAAATATAAGTTAAGAGTGTAAAACTATCGATAAAATGTATATCATTGTATATTTTATGTTTTTAATGGATAAAAATATGTGTGTTTACCAGCTAATATTTCATCGTCAGTATATTTTTGTTGGGTATGCAGAAAAAAAGAAAATTGTAATTGTAATTTGAGGTAAGTAGTTATGGAACAATAACAAACAATATCTACATTATAAATTAGTAACCTTGATTTTAAGGGGGTTTCTTTATTCCAATTTGTAATAACTAAATTTCATGTTACATAAGGCATAAAAAACAAAATCGTCGATATGTCCGAGTGATTAAGGAGACAGACTTGAAATCTGTTGGGCTTTGCCCGCGAAGGTTCGCGAACCTTGCTGTCGACGAAAAGTGAATTTTATTTTTCTGTTTTTTATCTTACAAATTATGATTCAAATAAAAGATGAATATTTAAAATATAAAACTACACTTATTTATATAATATCTATGTCCACGCCTTTCTCAAATAGCCATACAACTTTGGATAATTTAAATGTCTTAATCTTTGAAGATAGATGTGACTATGAACAATGAATTTGATGTTTCTTTGGATAATTTAAATGTCTTAATCTTTGAAGATAGATGTGCCTATGAATAATGAATTTGATGTTTCTTTGATATTGCTGCAATGACTTACAAGTATTACAAAAGAATATGCATCAAGCAAAGATCGATCATCATACAACACATTAATACGATCTTATCTCATTTTTTATAACAAAAATAGAGCTCAGACATTCAAGACTATATTTACAACTATACAACTGATCTTTGTTTCATATCATCAATTCTCAATGATATATATGCTTCAAGAAAAGTCCGGGAATGTGCTGAAAATAATCTTTAAACACCAGCTCTTCTCAAAAAGGCAACCATGCCTAAACCGGCAACTAACGCAGCTCCAGCTGCAACTGTACTATATGCAGTGGTCCATGCATCTCCTTGAGTAAACTCCATAATACGTCCTTTTGTGGAAGACCCTTTTCTACGTTTAGGTACCCCAGAATAATCTAGATGCAATTTTAAACCCTGTATATGTACACCATTAACAACATATTGGACCTCATTCATTCTACAGTTTATGTGTTTGTTACACAAGATATGACTCTTTGGTGATTGGATAGATGGCATTCATATCTTTTGCACAAACTACAGACTCTGTCCCACCTTGTTTTATCTTTGTGGGTGGAACAAAACATTATAATTTGTTGACAAATATTGAAGGAGGAATTCGTGCACCTTCATAGATGGAGTGAGCTCATGCATATAAAATGAGCAAGGCTTTGTTTTAAACCGCCCCAAATCAAAATACACTTTTAAGTATTTGATTATTTGTTTATTCTCTTGTTTTGTAGTGTAGAAATACATGTTATTGTGTGATTGTAAAATTTGTCGTATAGTGTATTCTTCTATGTGGAGGCTCATGGTTTTTCTACGGTTTTAGAGTTTTCCATATATATTCATTTTTCTTATTTCTCTATTAGTTGTCATTGAATGGGATGTTGGGAATATTTGAGACCATTTACCAACACAATCCTTTTCCATGTCCCTATGAAGGTCATCTTTTCTTCCCTTGAATAACAAATTGGGTCTTGTGTATCATGGTAAAAATGGATCATACCTTCCACCCGGATAATCTTGCATGGTCAACAGCTGCAGCAAGATCAGCATCTGTTACCAGTACGATCTTGTCTTGATCTTCGTCTTCATACTAAAAATGGATCATTCGTAAGCAAAAAAATATAAAAAAAAAAAAAAATTTGAATACAAAAATATATATTTAGACCATACCAGAATCTGTGGAAGGTTGTTACGGTCAATCTCACCACCTACTCTCTGAAGTATTGCAGTTATAAGATCCGCCAAACTTCGAGTATCTAAACCCAAAATAAAAACCGGTTAATTAAACCAAACCTTAAATATATCTTTTAAAACATAAAATAAATAAATAAACATACCACATATAAATCTATGCATCCGACCCCTTTTATCTTGGATCTTGAAACCAAACGTATTGGGTATTGTTGATGAAGGATACGGAAGAGTTTTCATTGTTCCTGCTTCCGAAACCAATCTCACAGAGCTCTCACTGTATCATATCACCGGTTGTATTTAGATTATAAACCAACATTAAATTAGAGTCGCAATAAAATAATGTAATTAAAAAAATATCATCAAATAACCTCCTTAGATCATCATCATCATCTCCGGGACATATTGCCATGGCAGAGTCCCAAAACTTTTGCATCATTGAACTTGCAGTTTCATTATCTATCCCAGCTGTATTCCCCACCTGTGACATGGCAATACTATATATTCAAACAACTAAAAAAATTAAACACGACTCCTCACAATTTCATTGAGGGTATATATGTACTTTACTTACTGTGGCTACCGCAGCATGAGTTATATGAAGTACATCCACAATAGCAACCACAACTCCCTCTACACCAAACCATCTGCTAGTTTTAGATATTATACGTATGAATTGTGTAACATTAACAACTATTTATTTTAATGATTACCTTTTATCGACTACAGGAAGATGTAAATATTTCCCATCATGCATGTTATGTAGGGCATTGACAATAGGTGTATCAAGTGTAGCACATTCTGGATTTGGAGTCATTACCTACTTGATAAAAATAAAAAATAAAAAGCATTCGCAGAAAATCATAAATATTGTGAAGAAAAATGTAGATGTGTAGGGGCAAATAGGTAATTTACCTTCTCAACAGAGATGAGTTCGGGGCGAAGATCTTGTGCTATCACTCTCATTAAGATATCTTTTGATCTAATTATAAGTAGAAAATAGCATGTTATGGTATTGTTTGTTATTTGTTCTAAATTTTTATATAATTGAGACACTCACGTTAAAATCCCTACTGGTTTTTTATCTATAGTTGCAACAGCAGAGCTCATGCGACACTCGAGCATCTTTTTTGTTGCTGTTACCACTGTGTCAGATGGTGAAACTGTGACAACCCTGGTATTATTTTGTGGAAATCATCGATATATTTCCATTTCAAGAAAAATCCAGGATGAAGAAATTTACTTTAAAAAAAAAAAAGAAATTAAGTAAAGGTATTACCTACTTTGGATTCGCGGAGATTATAGTAGATAAAGATGGTCTGAACATCCGTTCACGCAGTGATTCAACAAATGTGTTGGAACCTGTTTTAATTTAAGTCACTTTACTCGTATTTTTTAAAAAAATTTATGAATCTTGAAGTGCGTAAGTGAAAAATAGAGACTACTAACCAGAAACAGAAGATCCCCAATGCTTCTCAACACCTTCAACAGCAGCTGCTATGGCTTTCCCCTTTTCAGCTGCACGTTCCATACGTGCAATTGCATCATATAAACATTTTTCAATGTCAAGCAAAGCAATAACCTGTCCATGTTCTACAACTGGCAAGTGTCTGAATTTTCCTGTAGTTTTAGGAATTTCAATTAGTAAAGCAGATTAGCAAGTTATCTTACAAAAAAAACATCTCATTTCTCATGATTAATAGTTTAATACTCACCTTGAACCATCTTTTGTAAGGCTTCAACAGCAAGAGTATCAGAAAGTACAAAAAGGGGGTTTTTCGTCATCACTTTTGACACAGGCGTGTTCTCAAAATCAATCTCACGAGCAATTACTCTTGTTGCAATGTCCTTTGGTTGTTATTATAATGGCTAATTAGTGAAAGATAGGAATCCAGATGAATGAAGAAAATTCAAAGACAAAATTAACCTTATCTGTTAATATTCCACAAAGTAAAGATCTTGAATCAGTAACCAAAAGTGCATCAACTCTTCTAGAAGCCATTCTACGACATGCTTCATAGATGCTTGTGGTTTCAGGTACTGTCAAGGCCCTTGAGAGACGTAAACGCTTCACTGTACGCTCTCCCGTTAGTCCCCTATACAGATTTTTCAAACCGTATCTCAAATTTTTGTGGCGCATTAGAATTGAAATTTGAAGTATAAGTTAAGTTGATTAAAAGGCGTTCGTATGATGCTCAGTTGTTCATTTGTTCATATGCATGTAGATAAAGAACTGGAGAATCTAAATGAGTCGAGATACAACGGAATCAAAAACACATACATGGAACGAGAAGCAACAAGGGATCTGCGATCAGGGGTTCCCCTTTCAGAACCATTCCTCCTTTGAGACGACGAAGTTGTTAACGCCATGCTTCTTCGTGAAGAAGAACCTGCATGACTAGTCGTCATCTTCACCACGGCAGGTGTCAATCAGGATTCCTTACCTTAACCTACATGAAATCGCATGAATCAATCAATTTGGGGAACATGACACAATGAGATTACTACAACAATATCGTACTCCGTTAATAACATCAAAAGAAAGAACACCTACACAATTAATTAACCTGATACCGGTTATCGCTCACACATAAACAAGATTTAGGACAATTGATTGGAAGGTATTCATGAATTCTCCATGAATTATGTGCAGATCCTTGTTCCAATTTTCAGAGGAGGAAATGAGGCGCTTTTTTATCTCTAGAAAACATACAAATAATTCTATAAAATCACGTTAAAATAGTCATTAACTCATTTTCATTATGTCATATTTTTTATTGGGAAATTGAGGAAACTTTTATAGCATTTTAAAGAAATAACCAATTTGTATATTTTTGGTAAAATAACCATTTGTTTTTTTTAATAACCATGTACTTCATAAATTCATAATGGATATTGGAGCATTAGAAAAACAGTCAAACCCAATATAAAGTAAAGTGTTTATGGATGGTTAACCGAACGAAAACTATATTTCGGAAGGATAACCGGAGTGGTCGGTTTGCAAATTTATTGAACCTAAGCCTAAATTGAAATCAACAATTAACCGATTTTGGTTAACTTATTGGTTTGGTTATTGGTTAACCAATTAACCCGTACTAATAAATAAATGGGGATAATGACTTAAAAGGGTAATGTATTTTTCAATTTGTACACATTTAGTCACTGAGTTTTTTTTTCGTCCACATTTACTCATTCAACTTGTTAAATTGTACACATTCAGTCCTTATGACCGGCTACTTCAGGTTAGTCGGTAAAAATGATTGGATAGGTAATATATTTTTCACTTTGTATACATTTAGTCCTTAATATTTTTGTACATATGTAGTCATTAATATATTTTTTTTGGCAAAATAAGTCATTTTTGTTTTTGTACTCATTAAATACTTATGAATGATTTCTTTAGTTTTTTTCTCACGAAATCTTACGTGGAAAATTCATTAATGAAGTGTTTAGGCCTTTTGATGTTTATGTCCATCGCGATCTCAACTGCTTGGCTGCTTAGGTCATGTGCTCTGAACGTCAGAACTTCTTCATACGATCTCGGATTTTAACGATCTTTATATCCATGTGAGCGATCTTTATATCCATACGATCTCAGATTTTCGATTTTTTTTCGTTTATAGCTATTTTTCATGTATCAACAACACCAATTTCATCTCGGCAACACCTACTATGTATTTCTGTGTCTGCCCCTGTCCATACGTTTTTTATGAATGCATGTATGGATGCTTTTTTTTATAAAATCGTAAGTAAAAATATATTACATTTTAACAGGGAATAATCTTAATTAAAAAAATGAACATGTGGATATAAAGATCGTTAAAATATGATATCGTATGAAGAAGTTACGACGTTCAGAATAGAAGACCTAAACCAAACCACAATACCTACGCAGCCAAACAGTCGAGATCATGTTAGACATAAACATCAACAACCCCAAACAACTCATCAATGATTGTCTCACGTAAGATGTCACGAGAAAAACCTAAATAAATCATTCATAAGTATTGAATGAGTACAAAAAATGGACTTATTTGAAACAAAAAAAATGTTAAGGGCTAAATATGTACAAAAATATTAAGGACTAAATGTGTATAAAATGAAAAATATATTACCCTATTAAGTCATTTTTCCCGGCTAACCTGAAATAACCGGTCATAAGGACTGAATGTGTACAATTTAACAAGTTTAAGGGGTAAATGTGGACGAAAAAAAAACTCAGTGACGAAATATGTACAAATCAAAAAATATATTACCATTTTAAGTCATTATCTCTTACTCAATCCTATTCTACTTTGAATTTGTTTGTTCTTTGCTAGCTTTTTATTGGTTATATATATGTTCAAAAAAAAATTTAACATTTTTCATGAATGATTGTCTATTATTGTAAAATATATATTTTCAAAATCCCTTTATATGATTCATATAGCAAATTCGTAAAAAATCAAGAATTTTACTTTTGTTCCCAACATTATTTTTCATGAAATAGTGTCATCAGATGGCAACGGGGGCGGGTTTTACAGGGGACCCCAATCTCCATCCCCATCTCCGAATCCTCATTCCAATCCTCATCCTCATTCTCATCCCCATCCCCACCGGGGAATATAGATAAACCTCCATCCCCACCCCCAACGGGAATTGGGGATCCCCAACAGGGAATCGGGGATTTCTTTTTCTCTTTTAATATGAAAAATTTTATGTAAAGAAAACATCTAAATTTCAATTTTACCAGCATAAGTTTAAAGATTTTACAAAATATAAAAAAATATATAGATTGCATAAAAAATATAAATAAATTTTCTACCATATTTAAATACATACATGAGAAATCAAGTAGAAAAAATTATCAGAGTGATATTTGAGGTAAAATAGATGAACAAAATACAAAAAAATTATACATGAGTTTAAATAAGATAAAAGAAAAACAAAAATATAATTTCAACCAAGTAATTACTAATGAGTTAGGTTACTTGGATAAAATTCTATGTATTGTAAATTGTACTATAAATATATGTTTTGTATTACTTTTATATATTAATATATATCGGGGGCGGGTCCAGGGTCGGGGATTAGGGGTATCCCCATCCCCATCCCCTTCCCCACTTTTTTATTCGGTGATTCCCCATCCCTGTCCCCATCCCCGGTCAACGTGAGGATTCCCCGGTCAAAACGGGTGCGGGTTTCGGGTTTCCCATCGGGTATGGGGCTTTTTGTCATCCCTATGTTATCTCACTAAAAGAAATACACACATTTGCCTTTGAAACGTTTTCTAGTAGGATGTTGCTAAAAAAATTTTGTAATGAGGAAATACTTCAACAAAACAATTATTATCATCAAAAATATTTGAAAATTAATATTGTCCAGATTCAAGCTCCACTCTTTTCTCTTCGCCTTGGACCTCTAGGCTCCATCCTACAGCATCTTTTTACGAGCCAGGGTCGGCCTCTGTTCACTTCTTGGCTCGAGGGTCACACACCACCAGAGGCATCGCACGTGAAAGCATCGCATAATTCGCAAAACCCCACGTAACAATGTCTCCCCGTGAACCCGAATTTCACCATCTTTAATTTAAGCTCTCATTCACAGATCATAATCTACAGTTTCAGGCTTTCAGCACCTACAGATCTGATAAAAATCACAAGGTTTCTTTTACCTGCGTCAAGCTCAAGTTCGCCGGCGGCAATGGCGGATTGGGGCCCGATTCTAGTGGCGGTGGTGCTGTTTGTGCTATTATCGCCAGGATTACTGTTCCAGTTGCCGGGTCACAACAGGGTGGTGGAGTTCGGCAGCATGCGGACCAGCGGCGCCGCCGTGATCGTTCATGCTGTTATCTTTTTCGGCATTCTCACCCTCTTCCTGATCACCATCGGCGTTCATGTATACGCCGGCTAGTAATTTAAACTTTATATTTACATTTACCCCTTACTTGTTTGGTTTATATGCTCTTTAAGCCCTTCATCTATGATCTATGTGCTCTTTAACCCCTTAATCTATTACATTGACCGTTTCATTACATTACTTCATCATTCCATTTCGTCCTCCAACCAAGTCAACCAACTACTTATTGTTGGCATGAAAGATATACAACATGCAAGATGATAAATCTTTTTAAAAGTAAATAGATAAGCTTTAAAAGAAACATATTTTCATTCAATTTCTGTTTTAAGAAATATATTTTAAGATCAGAAAAAGCAAAGTATGTTCCTTAAAACCGAATTGGTTACACCACAAATTAATACAGTTTGATAGATTGACTCTAAATTCGGTTAAACATAAACATATCAAATTTAAGATTAGATAGAACAAATTTTCCCCAACATGCAACACCATATGTAGTAAATCAGATTTAGCAACAAAAGACTGAATCTTGTTAATTTCAAGCTGGCCAACCTTGCATTTGATGGTTCACGTTCGTAGAGGTCACCCCAGACATTTGTTCCGTTTGGTACCTAAAATTTTATGAATATTAAGCATAAAAATCCTTCTTTTTATTTTTTGAAATATTAATCTTAAAATGGAGTTTTCTTACCCAATTTGCAAAGTAGTTTTACAGCCAGTTGCGTGATAGAAGGCGTCACGTGTGGGTTGAGACAGTTGGTGTTGATGATGCCCATAAATCATGCCATTTGCATGTGCGTGTGCATCCCATTGGAGCGCCTCTGCTTGGCTTTCTTCTTCTATCTGTGACCACTACAAGTTTCTAAGGCTCAATTGTTCGAAAACTAGAGATAAAAGATAAAGAAAGATATGCAACAAATAGTAATGTGCTTTCATTAACTACTCAGTGTATTATAACAATCTACTTTCATTTCTATCTATTAAAGCATTGTAATTAATTTCAGTTTATATGACATTAAGATATTGTACTATGGAAAATCTAATGATTACAACATTATACTTTAAAAAAAATCTTATTAAACATGTACACCTTAAAAAATCTACCAAATATCAGTGAAAATTGTATATGTCATTATTATATAACCGGGTAGATTTAAAAAGTTAAAAAAGTAAATGGAAGTAGGATATTAATAAACAAATCAATGAAAGTACATTTTTAGTTCTTGCATTTAACCAAAAGATAAGCATGTGCATACTCTTAGTCGAAGGGTCTTGTTGGACTCGTAAAGTTGGTGTTCCTGAAAACAAAATTAAAACGTTTCCAAATGCAGTTACCATTAAGCCAAGAATTTAAGATAATAAAATTCAAAATTTAATATATTTAAAAATTTAAAATCCAAAAACTAGTTCGTACCATCTTCTGTTGTTCATAGAGCTTATCCAGCAGCGATTGAGTCTGTGCAAACAAGATGGTAGGAAATTACGAACAATAAAAAAAATTAAAAAGTTTAAATTTTTACTCTATTTTTTAGATAAAGAAACATGGATGGTATCCATGAATCCAATATGGATTCGCGTTTTTGTTGATATGGTAAAAGGTCAAGGTGTTGACTTTCAAGAGTCAAGTAATATCTAGTAGCATTTGAGAATGAACATTGAAGAATAAGCCTGTAAATAACAAATGTACCCTTATTGTTCTAATCTGTTTCAATGAACAATTAAGTTGTCTTTCAAGCGACTCGAGCTCGTTGATAGTTAAGGAGTCTATCTCCTCGCCATAGTAATTCCTGAAAGTTACAGCAGTAAAAAGTGAAAACCGAGTTCACAATGGATTTGTGGAAACTACAAACAAGGGTTCTTGCCTTTCGAGTTGTTTCAGAGCGTCGTAGCGCTCTTTAAGCCTCATGTATTCCTGGTAACTGCTTTGTTCCTAATCTCCACAAAAATATTCCCATAACAATTAATAATAAACATATTCACAAACCCATGCGTCTATATATATTATTATACACCTAGAATTTTCGTAAATCAACCCAAGTAACAAATCTGACATTTACTATTGGAGATGATAAAACTCAAATTAACCTGTCTATGAAAACATTTGCTTAAAGGTAAATTGCTTATTTATTCAATAATTTACTATCTTTCTGTTATTTGTGTAATAGTGTGGATTATATCCTAATTACGCACCTACATTTCAAATTAGCATAAAACCATACAACATTTTATGTATATTATGTTTAACTGATAAAACATAGGTAATTTGTTAGATTGTCCCCTGTGGAAAACGAATTTACTGTTTAAATTGGTAAAATATAACACTTTGTTAAGTAAAAAAACATTTAACCTTTTTAAATGTACATATATGACATAATAGTTATTTAATTAATTTTGGAAAGTTGGCTTTAGCAAAAAAAAAATGAAATTTAAGGTGACAAATATTTGCATTATCCCTTATTTCATAATTATATTGTTGATTTGAAAAAGCCAAACGTTTTGAACTTCCCATATCTGAAACACGCAATTTTGTATAGATATAAAAGTTTTTCTAATATACGGAGAAGCGACAAATGAACCGATTTGATATCATGTTAAAAGTTTAAACATATAATTATACATAATTATATATAAATGGCTCACAATTACAGTCTCTATTTAATAGTTACAAAATAAATAAATATTTCGAATTATAGTGTTTTTATAGCATATTAATTAAAGTTATCCACACATAATTTAAAATCAAAATAAATGTATCTAAAAGTTTTTTTTTTCATCTAGAAGAAATGTAATAAAAATTATTATTTTTATAAAACTATTAATAACTTTTTTTTTTATAAATACATAGTTTTAATTGTATATAAAAAATATACAAAACCAATATATTAATGGTTGAATATTAATTTAAAAAATCTTGGTTGCTCGGTTAGCCGTTACGTTATGTAAATTTTCTTTTGAATTTGGTAATGAAAATATTTATGGTTAAAATCATCTTATCATATAAATTAGTAAAAAAATAAAATATTCTAACACATAAAGCATTAGAACCATGTCATATATTAAAAAAATAATAATAATAACGTTCAAGTAACAATATTGTGTGTTTCGATCTTAGATTGAATCATTTATGTATACTTTCAGGTAAAAAAATTATTACTTAAATTTTAAAGAGTATATAAAATATCGAAATAATCATTTAATTAACCCTCGCTTAAAACCTTATTCTCCATTGCCCATCATTCCCTATATATGCAGATTTCTTTTCGATTTTATATTAAAAAATAATATTGTCAACTTCCTTTCATATCAGTTTTTCAAAAGAACGTTTTCAAATCAATAAAGACATTGCATATTTGATGGTTGATATATAATCTTTACGACTAAATTCATATACAATGGATATTTAATTATTTATAAGAAGCCAACTATATCAAAAAATCACCGGTAACCGATCATACCTGAAGATCCTCTTTCGCCGGCTTTCTTTGTTCCGGTGGACCAAAACTGCATTTCTCATACCTCTCAAGTGTCTTCAACATGCTTTTGATTTCAAAGAACATACAAGATAATTAGGGTTTCTTTGCTCCGATAGCCCGAATGTAAGATTCGAAATCAAAGTATTATAGAGGAAAAGTTGGTTGAAAATCTGCAGGAATATTTGAAGAAGATATATAATTAGGGTTTGTCTATACCTTGAGGTGCTGGAGAACTCATAGAGCTTGCCACGAGTGGAGAAGACGATGAGAGCAACCTCAGCATCGCAGAGAACAGAAAGCTCGTAAGCTTTCTTGAGAAGCCCATTTCTTCTCTTGGCAAAGGTGACTTGCCTGTTTATTTTGTTCTCTATTCTCTTCAACTCTAACCTCCCTTTTCCCATTGTTTCTTTCTCTTCTTTCTTATTCTATCTCTCTTCTCTTCTATTATCTTTTATAACCCTAAAGGTAACTTTGACCTTTAATACTCAAACCCACCTCAAAATAAATATTCCTTTATTTCCTTTAAAATCATTATTATATATTCTAGCTATCTCTAAGATGGCCTAAATATATTATGAAAAAACATGGGAATTAATTGGGAAAAAGAAATAAAGGACAATGTATTCAAATAACACAAAATTGTTGAAATGATAACAAACATGTCACTGATCAAAGTATAAAGCTCACAAACATATAATATATCATCCAAGCATCAATTTAGTTTCATTTACATTAAACCAACCAAAATGACTAAAATGCCCTTGGTGGTTAAAAAAAAATCTTTAAATTAGGTTTCGACTGGTTTGGTTGCAAATTGGAACCGATGGGGAAAGAAGGTGGTGTTGCAAGAGAGGAGGACGTTACGTTTTTTAAAGAAAAGGTCTACATGACTATCAAACTTACTAGTTTTCTTTTTTCTGTTTTGCATAAAAAATTTAAAGAAAAATGTGAAACAAAACGTGCACATTATCCCGTATATTTTTTCTTATTGTAAATAGCATGAAAGTTACATAAATGATAAAGTTTAAGTGGCCAAGTTTATAACAATTCGTCTCGTCCTACATTATCATCTCCGAAATCAATAAGAAAACAAATGCTAGTTTTTAGAAAGGTGAATAAACCGAAACAGAAGACGAGATCTTTCTCCATCAATGCCTAAATCTCACGATGATCTTATGCAACAAATAAGAATTTTCAAAAGAATGTGTATATGGATAAAGTCATAAAGAAATGAAGTTTGAGCAATTTATAAGACGTGAATCAATAAGTTATAGATTATTAATAATTTTATATATGATTTTAGTCTTCAGATTAGATTAGAAGTTACTAATTCGTTAGCTTATTGCCTTTGGCAACATGTGTAAAATGAAAAGAAAAGAAAAGTAGAATAATTATAGCAGAGTGGGGTAGGGGGAAATGAAAATGCATTAAATCTAAAGAAATATGGTGAAAAGAAAGGAAGATGGAAAAGGTGACTGAAAGGAAGATGATACCTTAACACTTTGGTGGACATTTTAATGAATTTAACTGGTCCCACTTTGCTACGTGTCATCAGATCAACACATCGCTTCTGCTGGGTCTGATTGCTTCTGCTTCTATCCTCCACTCATTGTACTTGCTTTTGCTGGGGTCCACCACACTCCAACAAAATGCCAATTGGGTTCTTTGTTTTGCAGTCTGTACAACTCGATGATGCAGTGTCCGGTTTTGGTATGAGTGAGAAAGTGGAGCTGTAAGTCCATTGGGGTATTATTGGAAATTACTTGTTGGCTACATGGGTCAACTGAAAATGGCAACTTCCCACTTTAAAATACTTTCCATAATTTACCCTTCGGTACTTCAGGGTTAATAATCATTTCATTTTTCATATACTTTTTTCGAAATAAAAATCACATACAAAAAAACTTTTATCTTATTATTGTTTTAGTTATTTATTTATCGTATTTCAACTATTTTTTGATTATTTTAATATGACGAAGTTTTCAGCTGATATTAGTAAAAGATGAATTATAAATATTTAGCAAGGTATTTGCATTTGTTGATAAATAAATATACAAAATTGGTATAATTGACTAATTTCAATTTATACCATCGAATGAAAACGTTATATATGATCGAACTCATATTTATAAAATGTACATCAAAATAAACACAAAAACATACACAAAATATAGGTCGAAACGTAAAGAAACTTGAATTTAGACTAACATGTATATAAAAATAAGTAAGGTTTATATTATTTTTTTAAGTTAACGAACGAAAGTTCAAATAATCAAAATTGTATTATATGCGACTCGACTCATATGTAGGAAGCGTACATAAAAATAAACACGAAAACATAAAAAAATTGCATTAAAACATAGACAAAATTGAATTTATACCAACATGTACATAAAAAAAACAACTTTTTTTTAGATAACGAACAAAAGCTATAAATTTACGTCGAAACATTGATCATCTTGAATTTATACCGACACATACATTAAAATAAGAACATAAAAATTTAATTTTTTTTAGTTAACAAACGAAAGTTGTTAAGAAAATCATAATATATATACCATGGGGATAAATAAAAGTTTAGATAATGGAAATGATGAAAATGACATTTAAAAAACTCAAACTAAAGATGATGAAAATGACATTTTAAAAAGTAGAAAGTTAAAAAATATCATTTTTACAAAGTATTTTAAAAAACATAAAAGGTAAAGTCTTCACTTTTGAATAATATATGAATAGAAAATGTCATTTACAAAGTTTTGAAAACTATAAGGATATGTGCGACAGCCCGAAACTTTGTCCGTTTTCGTTACGCGATTTCCGTTAATAAAATTTCGAATTCGTTAACTTTTCCGTCAAACTTCTTGGTTTAGAAAATAATCTAGTTATTTTTAATTAAATTATTTGCAAGTCAGAACCAAAATCGCGCGGAAACCCGAAAATCTCGAAAAATCAAACATTTCCGGTCTAAGTGAGATTACGACCGTAAACTAGTTTACGACCGTAAACCTGTTTACGGTCAGTAAGGAGTGGACCCCCCACCACCGACCACCTCACTCCTATAAATATACGATACCTCCACCTTCATTAGAACATTTCTGGCCAAAAACTCTCTCCTCCTCTCTCTAAGAACCTTAACCGTAAACACCTAAAAGCACCCTCAAACTTCGGGAAACATCGAGAAACCACGTTTGGAGTCACTTTGGAACGTCTCAGAGCACTTATCTCTTCGAAATCAGCAATCAGCACCATTGTTCTTGAGTTTACGGTCCATCTTCAAAGACCGTAAACCCTGTTCTTGAGTTTACGGTCCAAGCCTTCAAAGACCGTAAACTCTGTTCTTGAGTTTACGGCCGTAAACTCACCGAGCCTTCAGAAACCGTAAACTACCTGTCGACCGTAAACTCTTGTTCACGGCCGTAAACACCTTTTAAGTGGTGTTTTTTACTGAAAACTCACTTTCATCGATTCGATCAAGTCCCGGTAACATTCCTCAACCGAATTCAAGTGTTCCTCTAACACGTTATCTAACGAAATCGCTAATTTAGATACATATATGTATTTATTCGATAATAGGATTCCGTTAGGTGTCACGTGCAACAACTCGAGGATCTTCATTTCAGTCAACGATTTCACGCAACAACTGTGAGTTCATACCCCTACATTTTCCATATTTTCAATGTTTTCAGGGGGGATACAAGCTAAACATAAATGTTTTCAAAAACTTATGCAAATCTCATACTTGAAATCCCTTTTGTACTATGCTGAGCATAAGGGACGTTTTCACTAAAATTTGCATAGTTTTCCGGACACGCTATTCACTATACATGCAAACTATAATCGGTATAGTTTGGGATTTTTCTAAACATAACAAGTACAGAAACTTTCACTACTAAACATATGCTCTAAGACAGAAACAGTTTACAGTTTACATCACTACTTTATCATGGTATTCATAACTGAAATTATCACTATATACGGTATACATACGGATTTTCACTATGGTAGAACGCTACTACACTACATGTAAACTAGATTGTACGATACTGTGAGGCGCTACTTCACTACTATACCCTTAGGTGTACAGGGATAAATCCTACCACTGTATAAGCAGAGTCTCCTGGAGGAAGAGCGTGAGATTTGTGAATAGATCTATTCGGGACTGACAATCCCACATCTGGACTGCTAGCTACAGTTAGGCGGGCACACCTGATATGTACAAATGTCATTTAACTCGACACCTAAAGAATGTTGGAAAGGTCTCTAGTCATATCAAGCATGGTTATACGACTCACAATATGTATAAATCACCTTTAGTTTACAACTTAACACTCTTCAACAGTTTTATTTACATTAAATAGAACTAATACACACTACAACCAGGGAACTTTCAGGGTTTTCAAACAGAACGAGCATACAATGGTTTCACGCACGAAATACTATTACATCATGATTAGCATTAGCTAGTCACATGAAGTAATAATTTCGCATATCACTACAGTTTTCAGTGACAAATATTCATGGTTTTATACAGAATTGAAAACACTACTTTCTCACTAAAGAAAATATCGGATTTTCTTGAAACAATGCAAAACACTTTTACGAACTCATCAACGATTTTCATTACAAACCAACGCTTATGAACTCACCAGCTTTATGCTGATACTCTTTCAAACTGCTTGTATTCTCAGGAAATCAGTAGACAGGTACTTGCTGGATTTTGAGGAACTGGAGCAATAAGAGTTTTATGTTTATACTATACAAAGCTATTTGATGTAATTCAAACAAAGTTTCAGACAAAGATTCAAACTGATGTAAACATTTTTACATAAGTATTCACCGTAATGGTTTTGTTGCTATGATTGCTATTATCCATTGGTTGTGATGCTACACATGACGTCCTCCGCCCTGGAACGTTTCCGCCATCGGTTTCGGGGTGTGACAATATGGGAGGCAAATGTAGGTGAAAGCTACACATTGCCTTTTAATATAGATATAATTGTATTTATATATAGATAAAATTGCAAGAATGGTCCCTGTGGTATGTCAAAACTAGCAACTTTAGTCTAAAATGGGTTTGGCTCGCAAGAATGGTCCAATTTCCTATGAATTTTTATAATGACGGATTTTCCCCTTATTATTTTATTTTCCATTTTTCTTTTATTACAACAATTAAAATTAAAACAAAAATAATCTCTCTCTCTCTCTCTCTCTCTCGATTCATTTCCTTTCTTATTTCCGTCCCTGTTTTACAAACAAAGAATGGAGCACCATTGGTTTTGACACTGGCGGTGTTGCTGTGGTGACCACCGTGAACATCCACCACCTCTTCGCCTGTCACAGCACCACCACTGCCTTTCCCGACTTTCTCCATCCACCCCCCCCCCCCCATTTTAATCGGCAACGATGACGAGAGAAGGAGACTCGTCGACTGCCAGCCTTGTTCCGCCTGTCCCAGTCGCTCAAC